TCACGAGATCCATTCCTCTATTCAGTCTAATCTCGACACTCGTCTGACAAACTCACGGGTTCTCCACATTTATCGCCAAAAACGGTTTGTTTTATAATATTTTATAAACTTTTTATTACTTTATATTATAATTACTATTTATTATAAATTTTACTACAAATTTACAATAAATTTAAATTTAGTTTTATATTTGTTAAATTTGCTAAAAAATTATGCTAACATATACTGTATGTCCGGTAATTTGTATAATTGGATTCAAAATATCTAATAACTTTAGTTTTATTAGTTTTAGTTATAAATTTCTAATTTTAGCATTTAATTGAAATTGGAGTTGATTTGAAAATTTAGATGAAATTCATATTTCGGTTCACTTTTCGACCGCATTGTCATTGTATGCCATTTGTAATAAATTTTAAACATTTATTTCCTATTTCTGTATTAATCCAAACCCAACCAGTTATAACCAGAATTAACTTTTACGCTATAAACCCATTGTCTGTATATTTGATTGATTTTATTTTTTAAATCTTAATTTAGTTTTACATTATTTCAGTAAATTTTTGTATTGATTTTTCATTCATTAATTTTTCAGGGATTTTAAGTTCATTTTTAATGTCTCAATTTTATGTCAAAGAAATGTATAGCACTTTGTGTAACAATTAATACATAACTAGTATTAATATGATATAATATTATCACCGTTACTTCAATTAGTTATCAAAGTTTTATTAAAAGATTATTTGATTGTCGTAACCAGTAATTGAAGGCTAACATAGAAACTAATGTGAAATTTGTTTCCATACAGATATTTACAAATGATCAGAATATTTTTAAATTAAATATTCAATTGTATTAATAAATTGTATTTAATAGTTTTAATTTAAAATAAATTTCAAAATTATTAATTGTAAGCATTAGCGGCGAAAAATGCCGGTTTACCTATTCATAAAAATTGTTAATGCCCTTGAATAGTACACCGGTACATTATAAAAGCACATGCATGCCTGAATATCAGTGTATCTATTTGTAAGAATATTACAAAATATTTAATAAAAGGTTAATTTAAGAAGATTGAGTGAATGTAGAATTAAAAATTACACAATTAGTTTACCAAAGAATTGTTTTTCAATTTCTAAAAATTATTAGTAAATGACCACGATTCATTTTATTTTTGTAATAACTCTTTAAACTTCTCACACAAAAGCGTCAATGGATATGACGTTAAACTGGTTGTGCTCTCACTTGAATGACTGCCGTCTTCTGCCAACACTTACGCTAAGAATTCACAGAATAAGTGAAATGTTAAGAAATAGTTGGTTTCAATGCTATCATATGTGAACTCTATTTTTATTTATCATTTGAATTAATGCCAGAATATATACCGTAATTTTTTTTATGTTCTTCATAATAGAGTATTCATATGCATTATATTAATGTTTAATGAAATGTTAAGATATTATAAAGAGCTCTAAATTTGCGGAAATGTTTTATAGCATAATATATTATATTGTTATTCATTATATTACTAAGTAATCATTACATTGTGATTTACTTAATTAAAAATAGATATTTAAAAATCGCATAGAATATTTTAATGGTTATAATGGTATTCAAATAAATTGATCAATTATGAACATAGGAATATTGAGTTTACCAAAATAAATTAAAATTATGAATAAAGTTTAAAGAATACATAATAATATATTGTCATAAATCTGATTTAATACACAGAATATTGACTTGTGAACCGAAAACCATAACTAGAAATAATGTATGTACTTGAAAGCAATTTATGGTTTTATTTTGTAGAATTTGGTTTAAAAAATGACAACTTATTTTCCAATTTTGATTATATTCACGCAATTTGTTTATCAAATCAACAAAATTGAGAAATAATTGTTTGCACTTTATATCCGTTATATCGTTGACTTCATTGACAGATATAATATTTTTGATTTGATGTTTACTATTGACTTGTTTACCCAATAATTATCATCACTTCTTAGACTACTTTCTCACTATTAATGTCAATTGATTTTCCATTAGTTATTTGAAAAGTGATTATAATTACAATTATTCCCATAATAATAGTTTGCATTGAAATGGATTACACATTCTCAATAATTTTTAAAAAATCACATTTAATAGAAATAAAACTTTATTTATCACAAAATACTGTATAACAATTTATAAACATTTGAAATAATTATCTATTATAAAAACCAATGTTTTAAGTTAGTAAAACTTATTTTTGAAAAATGCTAACAAATCACAAATTTTATTGCTTATGAAAAGATATATTTTTAATTACTTTTAAATAAATATTAAGTTAATGTACTTGATAGTTCTTTAAGAATTTTTCTAAAACAAATTTATGGATCAGTAATTAATTGATAAGTTTGTGTTTTAACAGCAATAATGCCGATTGACGCGGTTTCGTTTGCCAAGGACTTCATTGCCGGCGGTGTGTCGGCCGCTATCTCGAAGACGGCGGTGGCGCCCATCGAGAGAGTGAAACTCCTTCTTCAGGTCCAACACGCGTCCAAACAGATCGCGGAAAGCCAGCGATACAAAGGTATGAGTCGTAAGACATTGAGATAATGAGGCGATGACTGACGGGTTGTTTCGGTGGACAGGTATTATCGACGCGTTTGTACGCATTCCTAAAGAACAGGGAGTCGTCGCCTACTGGAGAGGAAACTTCGCGAATGTGATCCGATATTTCCCGACTCAGGCGTTGAACTTCGCCTTCAAAGACAAATACAAACAGGTCTTCTTGGGAGGGGTCGACAAAAACAAACAATTCTGGCGATACTTCTTAGGAAACCTGGCGTCCGGTGGAGCAGCCGGTNAATATAAAGTAATAAAAAGTTTATAAAATATTATAAAACAAACCGTTTTTGGCGATAAATGTGGAGAACCCGTGAGTTTGTCAGACGAGTGTCGAGATTAGACTGAATAGAGGAATGGATCTCGTGATAGGAATTATATTCACCACCAGTTCCTCCACTCTCTCACATACTCTCACCGATGCCTCTATTGACCGACATTTGAGTCTTTGAAGGACACCTCACACTCACTCTCATTCACTATCAATGAATAGGATTCTGTCGTTAGGGAAGGAATGGAAAGGTATTCAGCACTGAATGCATGCAATATTCTGCTATCAATTCAATGTCACAAGAGTTGTATTCATTGCTAAGTATTTGTGATTAGTTGTACTGATTGTTTGCCTAACAATAACACGTGAACTGTGGTCACGATCAGGACCTGTATGTGGACAGGGGTGCGATGTCGGGATCAGTTTGTTTGGACATTATTTGTGAGTTATTCTGTCAGTGCATGAGTTCCGCGTCACTCTCTCCACTGAAATACTTTTGCGCAAAACGTTTACGTAATAATCAATTGCTTCACACAATCGGATCTCGTTTATAGTGAACTTTACCTCAAAAAGTTCACAAACGTGTCGAGTATTAGCATAAAAATGACATATCATTCAAACATCTCCACTCTTTTATAACAAAGTTTTATCTCATGTTTACTATAAATGAATTGTTATAAGTATTTGACTAACTTTTAACTCACTTCTCATGTATTGTACCGTTTGTGCCCTTTTTTACAGCAAATTCTTATATTATAGCTAAGAATCTTAGAATTCAGGGTCATTTGGTTTGCGATTGTCTGAACGCTTTGATCGTAAGACTCGGTGCCGAAATCCAAGTGATAACCGGATAACACATTCTGGCGTTTATTAAAAACTTTTAATCTTTTTTGTCTTCACATCACATGTATTTTGCGGTCAAAACTAGTGATAATGGGTTTAATTGAAAGTTTCAATTCAAACACACATTTCACGTCTAACACAGAATTGTATGAAATCGGAGGCAAATAACTAGTAGTCTATAAAAATAAATTGTAATCCAATGACGTTGGGATCAAAGTTAACATCAATTTATACGATCAATAACCAGACATTCATAGCAAACATAAGTTACCGAATAATAGACTATTCAATGAATAGATAAATAATAAGTTCAATCAATACGTCAATACTGTAGTCATTCAAGAATATCAATAAGACAAACAAATTTAAAATAAAATTTTTCCGATTTTTATTTCGTTTCCATAATTATTGTCAAATGTTTGACAAACATTTTTATCTCACGATTAGCTCTAATTATAATTTTCATCCGACAAAAGAAATTTACAGTAAATTAAAGTTTGTTTCCATAAAATTAAAACATGATTTCAATCGCTATGTAAATCAGAATCAAAGTTTAAAAACAAAGAATTATATAATAGTTTTGGAAATTAAGTCAATATCTAAACCCGAAAAGTGCTGTTAAATACGAGATGTCATAAAAACAATGATTTCTGACAATTTAAATTCAAATCTATGCCTAAAAATAGTAGAGAATTCTTAAATAGATTTCGTTATTAATTATTATTTGCGACAGAATTATAATTAATGCTAACATTTGTTTGAGTCTATCCTATAAGTGCTTTGAGTTCATCGTAGAGGACGAGTACGAAAGCGCCTCCCGTTCCTCGGAATACGTTAGAGAGGGCGCCCTTGAAGAAGGC